ACCCCAAACCCCAAACCCTCTACCCTAAACCCTACACCCTAAACCCTAAACCCTAAACCCTACACCCTAAACCCTAAACCCTTAACCCTTACCCCTTAACTCCTAAAAACCCTAAAGCCAATAATCGCTGGGCACAGAACCTCTGAAGTGTTCTGGCTCCCGAAGTCGTGCCCGACCAGACCTCAGCGCTGATTCTACATCTAGGAACCAGAGTAGGCCCCCCTATTCCCTGCTTTAGTGTTTTGGTTTCCTTACCTTAGAAGTCCCTTTAAACCAAAAAGGGCACCCGTTTTATTCCTAGGTTACTCTTGGGTCTAGTACATGAGGGTGTAGAGTTTTCAAGCCTGGGTTCAGGGTTTTTCGGGCTGGGTGAGGCTCTTTGGGCGCGGGCTTCGGGATGAGGGCTTAGGATTTAGGCTAAAGGGTTGGGGTTCAGGGTTTAGGTTTTTTGGGTTTAGGGGGTCTTAAGGGCTTGGGATGTTCCCCCTTTTTGTAGCAGTCCTGTTTCGGGCTTACAGTACCCCCTATTATAATCTCCGTTAAGGACTGTTACTATAAGGGGAAGCGTCCCAAGCTTTAAGTTTAAACACCTTAAATTACTAAACCCTAAACCCTAAACCCTAAACCCTAAACCCTAAACCCTAAAACCCTAAGATTCAGGAGTAGTGCCTCTGCATTTTGATGGCTGAGGCGTGGAAGCCCTCGTCGAGCTTCTCAGCCAGGTTCACGTGGACAGCAGCCTGACGCGCTCAATGCTCTGTGTTTGTGGATCAAGGTTCTCTGAAATAAATTTGAAATTCAATAAACATCAATATAAACAAATATAGATATAAATAAATATAAAGATAGCTATATATATATATATATATACACACTTTTTTGATGATATATGTATATATATATATATATATGTGTATACCTACCCCAAATCCCAAAACCAAAAACCCTTGAACCCTAAAACCCTAAAACCCTAAAGCCCTAAAACCCTAAACCCTAAAACCCTAAAGCCCTAAAGCCCTAAAACCCTAAGCCCAGGTGTAGGGCTTCGGGCTTTTAGACTTTGAACGGAGGTGAGTAGGCCTTCGGGCCTTCAGGAACGCGATGACCCTAACGTAGAGTTTAGGGTTTAGGGTTTAGGGTTTAGGGTTTAGGGTTTAGGGTTAGAGCAACTACCCCTAAACCCTAAACCTCAAACCCTCAATCACCCTCAAGCCCAAAAGTTGAAGGGTTTTTAAGGCAGG